CCTGTTTTCGTGAGACCCGTGAGACCATATTTGTACACGTAACCTTCACAGCAAAAACACTGTGAAGGTTTCAAAAAAGTCGAACCTTCACAGCAAAAACACTGTGAAGGTTTTAAAAAGTCACCTTCACAGCATTTTGCTGTGAAGTTTTAAGTGTAAGATGTTGGTCTCACGAAAACAGGCTAGTCTCACATGATCCCAAATCTATATATATATATATATATATATATATATATATTATTTGGGGTGAGTAAGTTTTAATCAATAAAACCCCACCGCCTTTGATAAGGTGATATAAAAAGCAAGAGACGACTTCTTATTGCTATCCTTATTATTTTGGGAAAGAAATCAGGAAAGAGAGGGATTTACTGTGTGGGTGTCTTGAGTGAAATAGGTGTGTGAATTTGCTTAGGTCAGAAGCTGAATTTTGTGTTATTATTTGAAGTTGTTGCTGATTGATTCATCTTCAATACGTACATTAAGGTGAGTTTTACAATGTTTGGTAAATCTGAGTATACATTTCTGGTAGTTTACTGGTTATATGATGATTGTATTTCAACGTTAAGATCAAAATTGATATATGTATACGTTAAGATCAAAATTGATATATGTATATGTTACTGATACATTTTTGGTAGTTTACTGTTCGGTAAGGACCCTTATCGCTCATATGTTGTCCGATAAGGACTTTTATCGTTCAAGGCATCATCCGGATTGGGTGTTCATTGTACCGGCTTTGTCCATATTGGGTGTTCATCGCCCAAGTGTTGACCGGATTGGGTGTTCATCGCCCACAGTGGCAGACGCACGTTTAAGGGGTAGGGGCCTGGGCCCCAACAACATTTTAACACCAAAGCCCAAAAAAAAAATTTACTTGTATTTTTAATTAAGTGTTGTTTGGGCCCCCAACAATATTTGACAAAGGCCCCTCTACTCTAACTCTAAGTCTCTAACCTGCACACCAGTCACCAGCACACGGGAACGAAAGAGGAGGCGAGAGCGAGACAGACCGCAGACGCAGAGAGCCAGAGAGGAGGCGACTGGACTGGCGACTGGCGAGACCTTGCCACTGCGACGACGACTGTCGACTGGTGCTGCCGGCGAGACCGCGAGAGAGAGAGTGGAGACCGACGGCGACTTGGCTCCTGGCTGCTTGCTGCCTTGGTAATTGGTAAGTAAATATTCTAAATTTCTAATTCTAATTTCCATCTTCAAGTTTTCAATTAGTAGTATTTTAGGTTAATTTTGTGGTAATTGGTAATTGGTAAATGCTTTAGGTTAGGGTTAGGTATTTATTTTATGTTAATTTTGTGGTAAATGGTAATTGATAAATGCTTTAAGTTAGATATTTATTTTAGGGTAATTTTGTTGGTTAATTTTGTGGTAATTGGTATTTGGTAAATGCTTTAGGATTTAGGTTAATTTTGTTGGTTATTTTTGTGGGTAATTTTGTAGGCAATTAGACAAATCAAATGGAAAGATTTTTTAAAAGGAAAGCATCAACACCTGAATCGAGCTCTGCTCCTTCGATGTCTTCCGAAATTGATTTGAACGATTTATTGAAGTTGAGTGAGTTGTATCCTCAAGATTTTAGTCATATGGAAAGGATCGCTCTTGAGAAACAACTTAACATGTACTATTTGATTGTGCGTCAAGATGAAAGATTTGCCAATTTGAGTGGTATTGCCGAGCTCGCTAGACTGCTAGTGGAAACAAAAAAGCATCAAACTTATCCTCTAGTCTATCGGTTATTGAAGTTGGCCTTGGTTTTGCCAGTTGCTACTGCAACAGTCGAAAGATGTTTTTCTGCTATGAAGATTGTGAAGTCAGATTTGCGCAACAAAATCGGTGATGAATTTTTGAATGCTGCAATGATATGTACTATAGAAAAAGAAGCACTTCTCGCAGTTTCAAATGATGATGTAATTACGCAATTTCAAAAGATGAAAAGTCGTAGGGCACAGTTGTAAGAGGTAACTTTTTATCATTTTTGTATGAAATTGAAGTTAATTATTATTTTATTTTATAACGTGCCCCCTACAATATATTTTTCTGCGTCCGCCACTGATCGCCCAAGTGTTGTCTGGTGAGGGTGTTTCATCGCCCATGTGTTGTCCGATGAGGGCAGTTATCGCCCAAAATGTTGAAACTGTTTTAATGTCATTCATGGCTAAAAATGTCAGATTTTAATTATATTTTATGAGTAAATAAGGGTGACATATCAAGGAGATGTGTACCATGGGATAAAGATGATATATCAAGGCGAGGTGTATCATAGGATAAGGGTGATAATTGTGGAATCTGTGTTTTGATTATAACTCTTGTGATGTGAAGACTTGGAATTATTGCTCTTATTGATTTGATAACAATGACGTTGTGCAGAGGAGGAAAATCGCTTATAACGAGAGACTTTAAATGTCTATGTTTCGAATAAATAATGTTTTAAGGGATATTGGTTATTACATTTCAAACTGTTCAAAAGAGTAAAGATTTGATAATAAAAAAAGAAAAACCCAAAAGATCTTCGGTTATCATTAAAATCCATTTTCTAAGTTCAAATACAATTCTTATTTTCAAGTTTTAGCCAATAACCAATAACTCTGGTTAGTCGCAATCCCTTGTAGGATTTAAAAGATGAGATTAGGAGCTCTGGTTATTATGAGCCATAAGAGCTTTGGGTTTCGTACCTACTTATGTGAAAACTTGAGTAGTTTCATTCCATGTTCGGTAAGGAAAAATTTATAACTCGCAGTTATTTGTAATTTTTGAGTTATATTTTATAAAAGTTGTTAGATATTCAAATATGATTTTATAACATGTTTTGGTGATTTTCACCTTGTAATTACAAAGAAAGGGGATTTCTCACTAGACCTCAAAGTATAACCTTCATTTTGTGTTTAAAAATGTGCATTGCAGGTCATGCTATATCCAGGGATAAGGGGAAGGGGAAAATGTGAAATTTTCCTGTTATGCTTAGGAGCATGTTATCTGATGGATTTTTGGAATAATTGTTATCTATGCAAGTTGTTTACAAGAATGTTACAAAGAATTTCTTTTTGATTGTTGATTCTATAATATAGTTTCTTGTTCTATTGGGACCAAATATATATTAATTGTATTTTTGGATATATGAAATATATGGTTATATACAAATGTAGAACCTGAAACGTTACACTTGTCTTAATACTTAACCTTGCATCTTCATTTATTCAAGTAAATCTCCAATTACAAATAGTGTATTTTTTTAAATAGAAGACAACTTATTAAAAAAAATTCTCTATCAGGTTGTAATGTACAACAAACTGTCTTTTTCCCGGACGTCCGTCATGCTTTTCTATACACATATACAACTCCTATTACATTTCATCTGCAAAAGTTTGCCGTATCAACGCGGATATACAATGGGATTACCACCGCTTGTAAGATTGCTTCCCGGAATGTTCGACGAGCTATCCAACGACGACAATTCCATGAACGATTTTGACTCCGGTTCTAACAACTCGTCTCCGGTCTCCGGCATCTTTTCTAGTATGTGTTCCAGCTCCCTAACCACATCTAACATCGATGGTCGTTTCTCCGGCTTATCTTTGCAACACCATAAAGCCAACAATGCAAACTTTTCGATACATTCGGAAGGGTACGAACCCATTCGGTTGTCTACGATTGAGAACATTGTGCCTGTTTGATGAGCTACTTTCACCTGAAAACCCCGGATTTTCATTCGAATATTTTCTAAAGAACAAAATGTATCAAAATACAACAAAGTTTGGTTTAGTTAACTAATAACATTTTTTCTCAATCCAACATAACAAAGTTCTAAAAATTTATAGAGTAAACTACGTTTTTCGTCCCCATGGTTTGTTGAAAATTGCTATATTCATCCCTATGTTTTCGAAATTACGGTTTTTGTCCCTATTTGTTTATAATTCATTGCATTTTCATCCTTGTGGTTTACATTTCTTTGTTGTTTTCGTCTCTCATACTTAACAGTAAACCACTGACGGATTAGCCTCAGTGACGAAAACAACAATGCTTTGCAAACCACAAGAACAAAAACCATAATTTCAAAAAAAGACAAAAATCGCAAATTTTTAACAAACCACACAGCCCAAAATCATAGTTTACAATCCAACGAACTTTCAGCATTTCCTATTTTGTACTCATTTAGTTTTAGTGTAACAAAGTTTCGTTTTGATGCATTTTACCCTTCTCGGAATCAATTTGGGGAAGTCTATATCTGAATGTTGAAAAAAAAAGCATACCTCACGGACGATGTTTTTGCCATGCGATATCGGCTTCAAACCGGTCAAGATCTCCAAAAGTACGACCCCAAGGCTATAAACGTCGCTCTTGTCTGTTAGCTTATTGGTCAATAAGTATTCCGGATCGAGGTAACCCTGCCATAACATATAGGATTGATTAGAAAAAACAACAAACACTTCAATAAAATGGGTTTTTAGAAGTCCAACCGTCATCGGGAATCGTAATACAGTATTTAACAAGAACTCTAAGTTTTAGAACCAACTTTTATGCGTTTTATACAATGACGTTACAATAAGTTGTTAGGACAGAGTTAGGCGACCTAACATGTTCTAACGACGAATTTGAGCAATCAAAAAAGACGCAAGAAATAAATCGTCTTATTAGCCTTTTTATATGACACTTCTGAAAACTGTCAGGTTAATAGGCATGTAAAAACGACGGATATTTATTTCTTGTGTTGTCTTAGATTGTGTGCAACTTCATCCTTAGAACTTGTTAAGTTGTCTAATTCCATCCTAACAACTTATTGTAACGTGAGGGTACATGACTCAAAGTTAGTGGTCTGATAAACTTAAATCCTATTAAGTACTTTATTGGGTCGTCCAAAGACGGCAGCGTCGTAAAAAGCCCAGTTTGCTGTAATGAAAGTCGACCATGATGCACCAAGGTTCCTCAACTAGCGGAAAGATGGAATTGAACTTACGGGCGTTCCCCTAACAAGCGTGGATACGTAGTTAGGACCCACTCCATTGTCATCCAAGATCGGTGCAAGCCTCGAGAGACCAAAATCAGCAACTTTGGCTGTGAGTTTGGAGTCCAGAAGAATGTTGCTCGATTTGATATCGCGATGGAATATCGGTGGGTTTGCTTCAGTGTGAAGATAAAGTATGCCTCTGGCTGAATCCAACACCACAAGTAACCTCCTTTTGAAGCTCAACGATTCTCCGGATTTGGCTGTGATTGCATCAATCGAAACCAAACACGAAAAGATTTCAAATCAAAGAATCAGATCGACTGAAAAAGATCAAATCGTGAAAGTTTCGTACCGTTAAGCCAATCACGCAATGTTCCCCGAGGCATGAACTCATAAACCAGCATCTGCATACGTCTCAAGAACCGATCACTTCCCATTCGAGTTACAAAAAATCATAAGCAAAACAGATACCCTCTCCGTCCCAAAATAAATGTCCACAATGAAAAAGTCACACAAGTTTAGAAATGTGTAATTATTACACTTTTTAAATAAAATTTTACGTATAATAACTGAGGCAACAATGAATTTCTCCAGGGTAGAATTGGAAAACAAGTAGTTTTTTGAAATGGATGCTTATTTCAGGCAAACTGAAATAGAAACGTGGATGCTTATTTTGGGATCGCGGGAGCAGGATAAAACGAAAGAATACCTGCTCCTGTTCCTCGTCACAGTATCCAAGAAGCGAGACTAGATTTCGGTGATGTAATCTCGACAACATCTCAATTTCTGTCAAAAACTCCTTTTCACCCTGTAACGATCCTTCTTCTGCGCGTTTTATGGCTACCATGTTGTTATCCCATAACGTTCCTTTGTAAACCTTCCCGTAACCCCCTCGGCCAACAAGAGTCGAGTCACAAAAGTTTTGCGTTGCAATTGCCATTTCTCGAAAGGTGAAGCTTTTAACACCATCCATTTTGATGGAAAGTTTTGAGACTGCAATAAATGACATAATATATAACATCAAATCAATAGTTTTTAACAATGGAATCGAAGTTTTTATCGCAAACCTACGTAAAGATTTTCTTGATGATGTGTGCTTGTATCTCTCGTGTCGTTTCTTGATCACAACGGTTAGTATCGAAGAGATTGCTATAGCACAAACAACTGCTACAACTACAGCAGTTGCTAAAACGCCTTTGCTTATACCTCTTCCCTCGGTTCCAAAATTCACTACAACAATAAAAACACAATGTGAGTGTGAGAATATGTGAAACCGCATTAGATTACTCTCAAAAAGAGCCATTTTAGGAAAGAAGGGAGGTTTTGACATATATCAAGGAGAAATTATCCAATTCTAGCCGATGTGGGATTCCAACAGTCAGCTTCAAGAAAACACAAAAGACTACTGGAACATACAAAATGCTTACTATGTGAATAAGGTCCGAGAAGAGTGAAATTCAGAAGCTCATATGGTCCAAACAAGTCGCTTCCGGGAAATACCCATGTCGTAAAAATGCCTCTAATTCGCATAACGTCACTTCTACTGAACGTGCTCGAATGCTTGGTGCCAGCCTTAGGGAAAAGTTTCAGATACATCCTCAAACGAGGCCCCTTTTCCCATCTAATTGTCTCGATGAATAGTTGATAAAAGTCCAAATCAAGAGAACTAGTGACATACATCTCGAATTCTTCTTGATAGGGTGCAAAAAAAGAAAAACTCGGACTTTTCAGACGATACCCGACCCTAAGAGGTGAAGCACAAAAACATGGGACCGGAGACCCCGGAACATACTCAAAGTAATTGTCGGTGGGACACGCTTGAATTGGACAGCCAGTTGCATTTTCTGAAATGGCACGCGTATAATCTCCATCATCTTTAGGTCCACAAAACTGATCTTTGTTTTGTATGCTTGAATTTCGACAAATAGGGTTTCCCTGTAGCCTGAGAAACCGCAAGATCGTGACTTGCTTAACAAATATTCATACATTTCCGTTACAGCAGCATGGAAAGAACAAGATGACATACCTTAGGCTAGCGTTTACCGGTGGGTTCAAATCTCCATTGACGTCTGAAAATAAATTATTTCGGAGATCTCTACAGCAACGAAAGACATTTTACACATACTCAAAATATGAGCCACAAAGTTTGTATTCGAAGTACAAATAACTAGTTAAATTTGCTTCTTACAGTACAAGTTTCGAGGCTGCAGTAAGTGACTTGTTCTGCCATAGCTCAGCAGAGATGGAACCGTACAGAGAATTGTTCTTCAACGACCTGCATCATAAAATATCCAAATTAACTTGTTAAATTCCTCTATGAATTGGTAATATAACGTGTTAAGAGTCTCATCGGCTAGACTTTGACTATTTTTCCTCGGTATACGTTGGAACCTCCCTTATGTTCTCAAAAGGACTCTTTTGGAGAGTAATCTATTAGAGTGTTACATCGGCTAGAATTGGAATATTTGACAATCGAAACAAATTAAGCAAAAAAGATGCTCACAGTTTTTGAAGGGAAGGAAGAACTGATAAAGTTTCGGGAATAGATCCATTTAGCTGATTGTATGCCAGATCACTACACAAGAGAATAATAGAAGCAATGAGTTTGTAGCATCAATGAATTAGGCTGATGAGATTATCTTCAAACTTACATAGTTATCATATTGTCTGAAAGCTTGTTTAAAGGTATGGATCCAGTGAGCCTATTCCTGCTGAGATCTCTGTAACGTTAAGCAGCAATCGTCAGCCAAACAACTCAAGACCAATAATATAATTTAAAAATACTACATCATAATTGAATGTCAACACTAATGAGAAGGGAATTTCTGGTGAGAAGCATAAGAAGAGATCTCCACCCTTGGATCAATCATAATTGAATGTCAACACTAATGAGGTGCACCTAGATGCACCGGATCAATTCCCTTCTAAAGCGCAATTCATGGGTGGGCATGAGATTAAAGGTGATCAAGGGTTTTGATATTTTCTTACGTTTTTCACCATAAGTTCCCTTCTCACACGGTCCTTTGCCTATACATGTGTATATATATATATAAAGAGGCGAAGAAATCGTGTGAGAAAAAGAGTTAAAGTGAGAAGCGTAAGAAGGGATCTCCACCCTTGATCACTTTTAATTTCATGCCCACCCATGAATTGCACTTCTCACGGGAATTGATCCGGTGCATCTCATTAGGGGTTGATCTTCAATTAGGATTGATCCAAGGATGGAGATCTCTTCTTACCCTTCTCACCATAACTTCCATTCTCACCGGAATCCAACCCTATATATATACATGTATAGAGGGAGGTTCAGGGAAAAACTCCCAAAGAAAGGAAAAAAGGATATGCCTAATAACCATTCATCTGTATGAGATGCACATGTGCATACAAGTAATATGTAAGCAATTTGTCCAGCATGCACATGGCATAACATACACACGTGTAGAAAAAATTAGGGTGAACCTGACATATATATACATGTAGGGTCAGGTTCACGGAAAACTGCAAAAAGAACTGAGGAACACCCTGGTAACCATTCATCTGGATGGTATGCACATGTGCATACAAGTAAACTATAAGCAGTTTGTCTGGTATGCACATGTGCATAACATACATACATGCATAAAAACCAAGAAGCAATTTCAATTACTTGTATGCACATGTGTATACCATCCAGATGAATGGTTACCAGGGTGTTCCTCAGTTTTTCAATTTTTTGGGAGTTTTCCCCTTAACCTTTCCCCCCCCCCCCACTATATATATATATATATATATATATACACACACACACACACATGTATATAGAGGGGGTTAATGGAGTAGAAAATAGAAGCTTACATATAGCTGAGATGTGGTATTCTGCTAAGATCAGGTAGAGCTCCTTGCAAACTACAGTTTCTAAGGCTTCTGCAATACAAGTTAAAAAGTTCGATCAACTGTCTCATTTCTCAGGCACACCACAGAAAGCTCAGAGTTCGTTCGATCATCGATGATGGAACCATGGATCAAAGGTCCCAAAAAGGCAATGGAGCCATGCAAAGGAACACCTCTAGATTTAGTTGTATAATACCTTTAAATCCAGTATATCTCACTCGAAAGTAGGGTCTGAGGGTGAAATGTGTTAGCATATATTAGTTTAGTATTGCAAATATTGGTTAATTAGTAATTGGGGGTATATTAGTCTCTCTTTATAATTTCCCGCGGAAAAATGTTTGGAGTAAAAGAAAGAAACACAAGGAATCCCGAATAGCACTTACAATTTGATTATTCCTGATAGATTTCCATATGAAGCAGGAATTGGGCCATCGAAGTGATTGTTATCAAGTTGACTGCAAGATAGGATCAACAAATAGATGAGTATTCTAACTATTTCATTGTGGTCTAAATATTTGTATAAGCAAAGAGAGAAGCTTACAGGATCCGCATGTTTTGAAAATTCCCGAATTCTGGTGGAAGATACCCAGATAAGTTGTTGTTGTCTAGAAGCCTAGAAAAAAGGTATAGCATGAGAAAGATGAATGAAAGAGATGAAACAAGTACTGAAGTTGCTAAAGCTATGTTTGGCAAACTAGCTGGTAAGCTAGCTGTTAGCCGATAAGTAGCGTTACAAAAAGATACCTTATAAGTTAACTTACTAACAACATGGGGCTTTTTCAATAAGCTCAAAATATAAGCTAGCTTATAGTTGCCATATATGGTCTAAGTGAGCACAAGAGAGAGATGTATTACTCACAAGTGCATTAGAGTAGATAAGTTGGAAAGTTCTGAAGGAATCTGACCACTTAACGAGTTATTGTTAAAATGGCTGCAAAAATGTCGAAAAAGAATGTCAACAAATCACACAAACAAACACAGACCCCCTTATAATCCGGTTTTGTGATCCACTCACATATGTTTAATACTATTCAAGTTCGAAAACGATTTGGGAATCGGTCCTGATATCTGGTTCTCATCTATTTGGAATCTATTTAAGTTTCTAAGATATCCAAGCTCAACGGGTAAACTGCCTGTTAATTTGTTGCCATTCAAAAGCCTGTCAAGATTGTAAAAGATCAAGATTAGATCATAATCCTTAAGGAAAACATGCACCAAAATTTTTTTTTATAGAAATATGATTGATTTTACTTACAAGAGTACCAAAGATGAAATGTTTCCAATCTCCTTGGGTATACTACCACTCAAGTTATCCCACATGAAATCTCTTCAATTTAATGAAACACAAAAGGGTGTTAATTAAACGTGTGTTTACATATTCGGATACATAAAATTTCATATTACAACTTACAAAATTCTCAGATGAGAAAATTCACCAAGCCCAGGTGCTAAACTTCCTGAAAGATTCAAGTTTAGTAGTTGGCTGTAAACAAAAACAAACAAAAAGAAGATGGTATAAGCTGACTTGCAACAAAAAAAAGAACACAATATGACATGAAAAGGGCATGAAAACATACATTTCTTGAACATGCCAGTATCTATCAACGTTGTTTTTATGAACGCATGAAACTCCAGTCCAGTTTGATGTACACGGATCCCCTTTATTCCAATTACTAAGATAATTCATTGGATCAACTAAACTATTTCTGACCGCGAGCAATGCAGAAACTAGATATAAAGAAAGTAACATCGGTCAGTTTAGATGCAAAAGAACAGGTATCTTTTTGTTGATAATGTTGCACAGATTCCTATAAGTCATTCAAGATATAGGTCATGTTTAGTAACCATAAGCTAGCTTATTTTTTGAGCTTATTCAAGAATCCCCTTTTGTTTACCAAAAAATAGTTTTTTGAAAAGCTACTTCAAATAGCGTTTCAATAAGCACTAGGGATTCTTTTTCCATTTTCACTTAAGGGTTTGTCTGGCTGTTAACTTCATGGGCGCATTGGATTAGCCGATGTGCACGCAAGCTGACCTAGACACCCAAGGTTATCAAGAACAACAAGCTTGTTGATGCAACAAAAAACCGAAGGAATTTATTGTTATAACAATCATCACTTAAAGATTAGAAGAAAAACCAGCATCACAAGGTTCTATTTGTTTTTAATATTTACCATTCTAACTCTACTGGTCCAAATCATAAGGGTTTTGAAGAATGGAAGATGTTTCAGTCACATGAAGGTAGAAAAGACACGAAGATAAGACAAATGGAGAGAAACCAAGAGATATAAACAATTAATAAATACTTCACCTTCAGAAGGATCAGTAACTTTTGCAACTGCAATCATCATCAAGCAATGAATCATCAAAGCAAAAACACATCCACATGATTTGAACTTGAACTTGAACCCCATCATCCTGAAATTAATCATTTTTGAATCAAATATAATCCAAATTCAGTTCACAAAATTGGATAAAGAAACATAAAGGGTATTTCAATCAGAGAAGTTAAAAAGAAAATGATGTAGTTGGATATAATACTTCAATCTTGCACATGATTTGAAGTTGAATCCAAGCATCTTGAAATTATATCTGAATCAAATGCTTTCCAAAGTCAACTTGGAAGTCACTTCAGATAATTGGATAAAGAAACACAAGTGGATGTCAATCAGACAATTTATGAAGAAATCCCCAAAATAAAATCTTCAAGTCGATGTAATACTTCAAACCTTTCAGCTTCCCAGATAAAAATTTATGTATTTGAGTTCATGAAGCTAAAGTCAAAGATAAAAACAAACCCCAGCACGTTTAACTCACACAATCAGATAATCAATCTGTTGAAAAAAATCAGAACCCAATAATTAAAAGGGGGCAATAATTAAATTATGATAACCCAATCTTTGAATAACCTGCGGTAGTCAAACATCCAAGAAAGAAGATACCCAAAAATGTCAGAGTGTTCACACCATCTAGAAATAGAAAGCAACTGTGGTTTCTTTTATAGATGGAATGGATGAAATGTACCTGAACACATCATCCTCAGACGAGGGATGGTAGAGTAGAATAATCAACGCTCATTGCAATTAAGAGAGATGAGATTGTGGTCATGATTGGTTGGTGGGTGGGTATTGAACTGTTGATAGTCCATCATGAATACACCCACAAAAGACGCAATTGTGTGCGCAAAGTTGTTTTATTGTTTTGTATCGTATTTTATTGTATTTTGGGTGTTGATGGATGATGAAATTGAGAAGGGAATTTGTCAGGATTCTTGATATCATATTGACAGGGAGAAAGGTATTGATGTTATTGTTGACTTTTCTTGAGGTTTTTGGCAGATGGATACAAGATTTCTCTTTTACTATGCCATGGACTCAACTTTGTATTTATCTCTATTTCTTTGTAGCAGCCGGGAAAAATGGATGATTGACAGGTAGCCAAGGCTGCGTTTGATTTACAAAAATGTTTATAGGAATTTGGATTTGCAAGAGGGATTTGGATTTGATTGAATTGGATTTAAAATTCATTCCTTTGTTTGGTTTGCAGAATTTGGATTGGATTTGAAATCCATTTTCTTTGAAATCCAATCCAAATCCCCCAATTTCATTTCATTCCTGCAAATCAAATGCACCCTAAGGTCCCATTTGGTTTGAAGGAATAGAACGGATTTAAGAGGATTTGCATTTAAAATCCATTTCAATCCCATGTTTAGTTTGTGAGATTGTTCGGATTTGAAATCATTGGATTTAGTTGAAATCTTTCAAATATAGGATTTTGAAATCCTTAGAGAGTGCTCGGGATTTCACAGGATTTCATAGGATTATATGCAATAAAGTTTTAAAAAATGTTAAAAACATTTGTTTTGTAATAATCGATTAATAAAAATGTAATTCAATTATTTTTATAATTATTTATAGTTTTTTGTATAAATTATTTATAAATAATGAAATCGAATTTCATTTCAAATCCTACAAACCAAACACACCAATGATTTCAAATCCCTTCCAATCCAAATTTCTCTAAATCCAAATCCCTCAAAAACAATTATGCAAACCAAATAGACCCTAAAGGATAATAATAAAATTAAAGATTAAAACTTTAACACTATGTTCTTGAGTTTTTTTTTTTTTTTTTGACGAATGATCAGGTGAGAATAATAAAATATTTAATTATAAGGAAAACAAAAGAATGTGATTAAGCGGCAATCTCGTCTGAGTCATGTATGCGAGGGACTAAGACTACATGGGTGGTTGCGTGAACTCCATCCTCCCGTTCCAGTGACTTAAGCAACTAGGTGGACAACCTCAATCACGAGTTTGATTACATGGACCATTCTTTTTCTCATTCCACTGAGCTGGGGGACCCTGGACGCGGTTTAGGTCATATGGGTAGCGTTTGGTATGCAAAATATGATTGGACAGGACTGGACATGATAAAACTAGATAGGACTGGACAAGAGAAGAGGGTAGGACCGGACTGAACAAGTGTCTGTCTGGTGTTTGGTACGACTAGGATTAGACATGATAGAATTATAAGTTATCCGCAAAAGTTATTTTATGATTTTATATATCGTATAATAGTTTTAATTAAAATAAATAAAGTAAATAATTTAATTGATAAATGTTTTTACACAATTTTTATATACATAAATATAAAATAGTACCAAATTTGAATGAAAATTTTTATATAATTGATAGTATTTTGATAAAAACATGATTCATACAAAGAAGAAATTATGCTTTATTCGGTTTGGAAGATCTTCATCAATTGGTGAAGACACGATAAAGATTGTTGCAACAGCAATGGATATGGAGGTAAAAACATTGGTAATTGATGGGCGATAGTGGTTGTGGAGGATGTGAAGATGGTGGATAGAGGTGGTGGCGGCGGTCGACAGTGGTGGAGGAGGTAGTTATGGCCTATGTGGTGGAGATAGGTATGATGGTGGGTAGTAGTGGTGATTATGGTGGAGGTGGTGGTGGCCGACGATACTAGTGGTGGTGGAGATGGATGATAGTGGTTGTGAAAGACATGAATATGGTAGATAGTGGTAGTGGAAGCCGATAGTAGTGGCCGACAGTGGTGGTGGCGATAAACGGTGTTGGTCGATGGTCGACGATGGTTGTGGAGATTGTAGTAGAAGAGAAGGTGAAGGTGGCCAACAATGGTAATGGTGGTGGCAATGGACGGTGGTAGTCAGTGGACGCCAATGGTTGTGGAGGTGGTGGAGGAGGTTGTTGTAATAAAAGAGAAGGTGGAGGTGGTCAACAGGGTAGGAGGTCGATGGTGGTTGTGGAGGTGGTGATAGACGATAGTAGTCGGTGGTCGATGGTGGTTGTGGGGGAGGGGAGATCCCCGACAGTGGCTACTGGTGGTAGCGGTTGCCACAACTAACAGGGGTGACCACTAAAACAAATATCATGTTAATGTTATATATCAAATGAGAGTTAGTTAATAATATTTTAGTTTATGTCTCATTTTTGTCTCATCTATTTTGGTGAAACAAGAAAAAGTTTTTTTGTCACACACTGTCCTAGTTTTTGTCTCTGTTTCATGTCGCGCCAAAAATGGAACAGTGAGTTTTGTCTCATCCCGTCCTATCCCATGTACCAAACACAGCCATAAAGATCATGCAAGACTTTGTTTGTCCTTTTTTTGTTTTGGCTTGACGATGATCAAAATATTCTCCGAATTTGGTTGTCGTCAACTCTATGTCACTTTTAGGCAATATCCAATAAATGCATTAAATTTGGTATTAAGATGTTATTTACCAAACGTTTATTCAAATAAGTGTTTATCAAGTCACATTACCTTACCGAATAAACATGGTAAGGACCAAAAATTCTATCTGGTAAAAACGAATGCAAGGACGAGACTCTTATCCTGTAAGTGAGAGCGACGACTCTTACCATGATTAGCGTTTACCGGATTAATTATTACATACGATTCCGTTTTGATAGACTAAAACCTATTTTTTATATTGAATCATTTCCAATAAATGCATTATTTATTACTCTATTTTAGTGTTTTAACTAGTATATACATATATATATTAATATGAAAGCATTACTAATAAAATAAAATAAAAATACATAATAACCACCAAAAGAATAACATATATAATTGCAAATAGATACTTTAAATAAACCACAAGGATGGTGTTTGATTGGTTTGAGTTTGGCTTTAAAGATCAAAAGTATCAGGAGGTCCTAGGTTCAAATCCAAGGAGGAATAAAAATCTTCTTGTGGCCACGAAGGTTCAAATGCAGCGACTCCGGCCTATCTGCAAAACAAATGGTCGTCCTGGGATTAGTCAGCTTACATAGCAGGTTGGATATTCAGACTAATAAAAAAAATAGATACTTTAAATAACACCGAATAACATCATAATAAATATTATGGTATTAAATTTATCATACAAATATAATTTGTGAAGTTAATTTGTATCACTTTTTTACATTAAAATAATACAAAATTTAATGTTTTACATTGGTAATATCTAAGATCCCATTTGTTTTGTAGGACTGGATTAGATTTGAAGGAATTTAGAATTCATTTCTATTTCAATCTTATATTTGATTTGTTGGATTTTTTGGGTTTAAAATCATAGGATTTTATTGAAATTCTACGAAAATAGGATTTTGAAATCCCATTGGGATGATTGATATTTTATGAGATTTCGTAGGATTTGTAGATAATAATGTTTTAAATATGTTAAAAACATTTGTTTTATAATAAAAATTAATGAAAAGGTAATTAAGTTGGTTATAATTTGTTTTTATAAATTATATATAACGAATTCCATTTAATTCCATTCCAAAACTTACGAATCAAACACGCTAAAAATTTCAAATTCAAATATCTCCAATTCTAAAATTTTCCACGAAATCTAAATCATTTAAAAACATTTCATCAAACCAAACGCCCTTTTAAAAAGCTGCTTGGTTTGACGAAATATTTTGAGGAATTTAGATTCCATGGAAGGATTTGAAATGTTTGGTAGGTTTGATTTTGTAGGATTTGTAATGAAATTGAATTCCATTTTTATAAATAATTTTGAAAAACAAATTATAAAAGTAATTAAATTACCTCTTTATTAATCAATTATTACCAAACAAATGTTTTTAACATATTTTAAAACATTATTACACATAAAACTTACAAAACCTTATAAAATTTCTAAATCCCTCAGTTATGGAATTTCACAGAAATCCCGATATTTTAAATCCACACTTTCCTCCAAACAAAACATGTAAAAGATAATAAAATTTAATTCTAAACGTCACAAATGAAAGAGACCATTTAGTAAATTCAAAGTAGTGGAAATGTCAAAAACAAAAAAATGATGTTGATACATGCACATATATATATATATATATATATATAGAGAGAGAGAGAAGAGTTCAAACAAGAACACATTCATTTTATGAGAATATGAGAACACTATTTTACCATAGACAATCACATGTGATACTATTATTTTATCACATGTGATACCAAATCAGAGACGTGTGTGATTTTCGATGCAATCTTGGTTGCGGCCCAAGTCGCCTTTACACCAGTAAGCCCTCTCACATGTATTATCACATATGATAAGGGTGTTGTTGATATGATACTACAATCCATCAAGACCATCACATGTGATGCTAAATCATAGACACAGACAGCCTTTGGTGCGGCCTAAGTCATAGAACACGTCGTCCGCATATCACATAGTCCCTTCACGCGTATTATCACATGTAAAAAGGGTGTTCTCGCGTTCTCATAAAATGAAGGTGTTCTCGTTTAAACCTCCATATATATATATATATATATATAAAGAAGGGTGATCCAAGGAATCACTCTTCCAATAATATTTTTAAAAGCTTTTTAATTTTGGAGTAAACAACTTCTTTCAAAAAACAAATTGCAAGTATTTCCAACTTGTTGAAGTATTTGACTTTTCCACATTGTCTTTTTATTTCAATCATATTTTCATTTT